TCAATTCCGGTTCCATTTAAAGAAGCACATTTAACACCTTATTAGAAAGAATGAAATATCAATGTCGAATACATGGTTATGGAGTAATTTACATATACTGTTACTCGAAAATTAATGTTAGAAACTGTTTAGGATAATAATTGACAAATTGTTAAATAAGAATGAGAAGGAATTGTTGGCTTCTCCACACTACAAATCTAGAGTTGAAAATAACCATTCAGCAAGACTCGACAAATTGTCGACCGCTCTTTGCGCCAAATTTTTTTTTGCCACTTTTTGAACCAATTAAAACCACTACTGTTTAAAATCTTCCAGAATTTTACAATTCCGATTATTACAGTTATTATTTGTTATATTAAACATTTAACATGCTTTTAATTTGATTATATGAAGTAACAATGTTTAATATTTAAATAATAATTATTATTTCTAACAATAAAGGCCTTTGATAAAATTTTATTTGATGGCACATTTTATTGAATTTTTGAAAGTCGATTCCGGAATCGCTTTGACTACCACAACACTGGCACGGGGAATCGACGATCAAATATTTTTAATAGAAGACATCATCATTCATCAACCCATCATCATCACCATTCACAACCAATCCATATTCCTGGGATTGTTTGAGTTCAACTGTTCTTTTAGGAACATCTTGGGATGGAGCAAGCTGTGGAGATATCACTTCAGTGTTAATGTTATCTGGTTTTTGAATGAGAACATTGGTTGGTTTTCGGATAGGCAGAGTAAAGTTGGGAGACATAGTTAAAATGTCTCTTGTCCAATCTTTTCTTATTACCTTACCAGTCCTTCTTTCTAACCGGACAAATAGTACTTCTTCACAAGTAAAAGATAAATACAACTTTCTAAGTTTCTTCAGCATGATTTGACAAACTTGGAATAAATCATTCCAGTCACAAGATTCTGTCTTCTTAATAAATGATTCATAATTAAATTCCTTATGTTCTTGCTCATTATCAAGATCACTAGACTCAAGAGTATGGGAAGCAGGTTTGGATACAGTTTCCACGTTTGGTTTTGAGGAGCCAGCTTGAGCTTTTTTGGTACCAATAGACATTTTACCCTTACTTGTCCCTCTTTCCATAATCAAACAATCTAATTGATGAGAACTTTCTACACCTTGATTTGAAAGAGGAACCAGACTTCCATAAGTTGAAAGCAAGTCATAAAGATGTGCAGTGGCAATATGAATGTAATCTCCTATTCTTCCACTATCAGCTTTTTGTAGAACAAAAAGCAATCTCCATTCATTTAACTCAGAATCAAAATTTTCCCAATCCTTTAATGATTTCTTTTCCAAATCTTCATTTGTATAATACAACCACTGTCTAATTGATTTGTATTTTTTCCAAATATTATACATATTTGAGTTTGAATCTTTCAAAAATCCAAAAACTTTATCAAAAGATCCAAAAAGCTTATTACAATGCCCGCCAGATAACATAAATGAATATTCCTTAACTGTGAGAGCATTTTCTTCTTCGATTGTATCTTTCACTAAAACACTTGATGAATGAAAATTAAAATCAGCAAAACCTTCCAATGAACAAATATTGGTTTTCATTTGCTTTTCAAGTTCCGAAGTTTTTAAGGTCATTTTCAAAATATATTCAGTAATTCGTTCATCCATATGCAAAATGCATATGAAAATATTGGATGATTTAACACCCATTTTGTGTTGTAAATTTCTACTATTTTCAGAACAAATCCCAGACAATGAATTTTGTTTCTTAATGTTGCAGAAAGGACAAAACATAGCATGTTCTTTCAATAATGAACAATATTCAAGTGATTTTAAATCACTCACCCAATAGAATTCTAATGGAATTGTTTGGGTTGTATTTTCAAGTGATAGTGTAGCATCATGCTCGTTTTCTTTGATAGTAATATGTTTGGTAGAAAGTTCAATAACTTCTTTTTCAATTTCAGTTATATAATTAATAATATCTTTCTCTTCACCTATATACATTAGAATTGGGAAAACACAGTCTCTTTCTTGTGTTCCGAATAAATGTAAATTTAAAATATTCAAAGTAACTACAACTGTTCGTAAATTTCCAAATTCTCTACCATCCATTGACAATTTAATCATTACTTTTTCTGGTAATTTATCTACACATACTTTATCATTCTGTTTTCTTGTGTGAACAGTATGTAAATGAGCTTTAATGGCTGCTTCTATGATGGATGTAAGGTTTACGATGAATCCATTATTCAGTTGTTTAAATTTAAAAAAATCTTTAACTAAAGTATTTGTTGTTTTTGTAATTTCTGATAAATTTGGATTTAAAATGTGATCAATATTTAGTGTATAAATTAACTCTTTCCAAGCTTCATGTGAAATATTAAGTTCATCCTTTACTTTTAATTGTAAACTTTCAGATATTTGTTTTTGTATTAGGTTTTTGTATTTCTTAAATTCAGTCTCAGTAAAATTATGTGGTTTAAGCTTACTAGTTATAGCAATACTCTCTATTATATCGAGTACGTGTGATGGATATTGTTTAAATAAATGATATAATATATGAGAAAATTTAACATTACAAGTATGAGCTATTTCTTTAAAAATCTGAATGAAATCTTCTAACTTTCTGTCAGAATATTCAAAACTATTATCAATAGAACTAGATTTACATGAATTATGTCGTAATTTTACACCTCTACATTCACATTCAGACACCAAATTTAATGGCGCTAAATTGACATCAACATTTAATTGTTCATCATATTTTTTGATGCATTCATCTAATTGATTCTCTATTTTGTCTAATTTTTCGTTTACCTTGGATGGTTTTTTAGGAGTATAAGTTGTTCTATCTTCCGAATAAGCTATATCTTTCATATTGCAATCATAAGTTCGAACACTTACTTTTCTTTTCTTGGATTCTTGTGTTTCTGCAAAGTCACAGTCATCTTCTAATTCTACTCTACATTGTTGTAATTCTTCTTGAAGCAATTTTAATAATTCCGTATGATGTTTTATTTGTTGTTGTATTTGTGTTCTAATAGTAATTTCATTACTTGTTTCTTCTAATTGTTGTTGTTGTTGTTGTTCTTGTTGTTGTTGTAATTGTTGTAATTGTTGTTCTTGTTGTTCTTGTAATAGTTGTTGTAATTGTGATAATAGTTGATCAGACTCATCTTGTTGTTTTGAATAAATAAATTTTACTACTTGATCATGGAATTGTTTTTGGGTTAATATTAACTTTAAACAAATGTCTTCTGGAATATAATTACTACCACAAACATTTTTACATCGATTTAATTCGGATGTTTCTAATATCCTTTTCTTTTTAACTTCTTTTATTCCTAAAAATTTGTATAAGTCTTCTTGTTTTAAATATACAACTCCTTCACAATACGGTTTTCCTTTATCGTTGAACTTTTTGAATTGTGTGTCTTGAAAAATATCTTCTAAAGTACAAGACATTTTTTTAAAGATATTAAATGATGATGATTAATATTATTTATTTAATAAACCAATATAATTAACACCTTTTACTCTTAATGCAAGTTGCATATCTTTGAGCAAAATAGTAACTCTTTTGGAGTGAATGGCACAAAGATTAGTATCCTCAAAAATATCAATAATAAATGCCTCAGCTGCTTCTTGAAGTGCAAGGAGTGAATTCGCTTGAAATCTAACATCAGATTTGTAATCTTGAGCAACTTCTCTCACCAACCTACAAAAAGGTTTTTTTTTTATCAATAATTCAGTGCTTTTTTGATACTTTCGGATTTCTCTTAAAGCTACAGTACCTGGTCTATATCTGTGTGGCTTTTTAATTCCTCCTGTGAATGGTTTTTTTGCAGATTTCTTTGATG